CAACAAAACATCAGTTTCTGGTCACACCAACAAAACATCAGATTGTGGTCACACCAACAAAACATCAGATTGTGGTCACACCAACAAAACATCAGATTGTGGTCACACCAACAAAACATCAGATTGTGGTCACACCAACAAAACATCAGATTGTGGTCACACCAACAAAACATCAGATTGTGGTCACACCAACAAAACATCAGATTGTGGTCACACCAACAAAACATCAGATTGTGGTCACACCAACAAAACATCAGATTGTGGTCACACCAACAAAACATCAGATTGTGGTCACACCAACAAAACATCAGATTGTGGTCACACCAACAAAACATCAGATTGTGGTCACACCAACAAAACATCAGATTGTGGATTGCGAACGTTTGAATGGAGAAACTCTAGGCTGATATTCGTTGACTTAAAAATAAAATCGTATTGGCATTTTTTTCTCCTTTTTTTTTCAATTTCTAATTTATTCTTAAAATCATTAAAAAAATTAAAACTAATTATAAATGTATATTTATCACAACGCTGTGTTTTTTAAGACAAAAATTTCTCAGTGGACGAAGATGAGAATGTCCAGCGTTCAATCAGGGCAAGCGAGTCCTTCAGTTGGTGAGAGATGTTGTGTGGGAGTTATCGCCCCTCCCACGGGGGCAATTTTAGACGGGATGAAATCTGAATTCAGGGTTTAATTGAATGAAATAATCGACGACGAATTTATAATGCTATGATTCTATGAATAATATTTATGATTAGCCTCGTAAATCAGTTGATTACATATGTTTTTGTGCCGAATTAGCAAGTTGATGAAGTAATTAACTGACTTCACCACGTCAAGATTTAAAGGGTGGATAGGATTAAAGTAACTCTAGATGTTTTACAATTACTACTGTGTAAAGGGGAGGCAACGTGCAACCATTCAATACTTACATTCAAAGATTTATAGAGAGACACATTAAGTATACATAATGTCAGTCATCATCAGTCATTTATCTGATGTAGGGCTAATGTCAGTCATTTGTCTGATGTAGGGCTGATGTCAGTTATTTGTCTGATGTAGACATAATGTCAGTCATTTGTCTGATGTAGACATAATGTCAGTCATCTGTCTGATGTAGGGCTAAAGTCAGTCATTTGTCTGATGTAGTCATAATGTCAGTTATTTGTCTGATGTAGGGCTAATGTCAGTCATTTTCCCACGTTTTCTTTAACTTGCTTTCGCGTCTTTCCAATCAAATCTTGCGATCGAAATATCGGGCACTTCCCAGTTAGCTAGCGCGCTGAAATTTTCAGGGAAGCTTTGTTTCCGATGACAATAGAATATTCAATTGTTATTATTACTAAATTGATCCATGGAAACATTTTATTGATCATTTTAGACCGCTATTTAATTGTACAAAAAACGTGGGGGAAAAAGGGACATAACCCAGTAATTGTAATTTGATGAAAACAAGGTTCGGTACTCTCCCTCTTTTTGCTTACTGAGTAGTTGTCACGCGGTGTTTGTGTACAAACAACCAGAACGTAACAACTGGTGGCCAGTATGGGGGAGACGATATGGTCGAGTGGTGGGGCACACGATTGCTAACCCACTCGACACGGGTTCAAGGCACGTGTTTTTTACGAGTTGTCTTCGTTTACCCAAAAAAAAAGTGAATGCGAAAAGATAAAATCGATAGCAAGATTTTAATGCAAACAAACAGACAAAGACTAAAAAGTAGAAAATAATTATCATTTAAAAAGTTAAAAAAAAAACACGTTTTCTGATTGAACTAAAAAGTAGAAAATAAATGCTATACAGCATAATAATGCAAGCGATCACTCTATAAGCGATGAAAAACGTGGGGCGCCGTGATTTTCTTACAGTTTCTAATACTGTTGACTCTCTACAAGCTCCCTAATAAAAGTCAATAGTATTATCTAATCAATAGTAATATAACTTTTACTTCGGCGCCCCACGTTTTTCATCGCTTATAGTAGAGTGATCACTTGCATTATTGTGATGTATAGCATTTATTTTCTACTTTTTAGTTCAATCAGAAAACGTGGGTTTTTAAAAACTTTTTTAATGATAATTATTTCTGATGTAGACATAATGTCAGTCATTTGTCTGATGTAGGGCTGATGTCAGTTATTTGTCTGACGAGGGCTGATGTCAGTTATTTGTCTGATGTAGGGCTGATGTCAGTTATTAGTCTGATGTAGACATAATGTCAGTCATTTGTCTGATGTAGACATAATGTCAGTCATCTGTCTGATGTAGTCATAATGTCAGTTATTTGTCTGATGTAGGGCTAAAGTCAGTTATTTGTCTGATGTAGACATAATGTCACATTTGTCTGATGTCTTATGCTGGCCCTCTACCATGTGTCCGAGTGTGTGAGACAACAAATTGTGGCAAACATTTACCAACAGACGTGCCCTGAATCTGACACAGTGTAGACATTTAGAATACTTGGATTTGATCGGATTAGCTAAGATGTGACAATCAAATATGTAGTTTAAGTCGCCAATCAAGCGAAAAGTACAATACCAGCCATACAGTGTTGATCCAACAGAAAAATGATCTGAGTTATCCCCTTCTTTAGTCTGGTCTGGACTCTAATACCCGAGGATTGGGGGCCTAGGTTGGTGGACCAGACCATCCCACGTCTAGACACAACCAGCCCATGTCTAGACACCACCACCCCTAGACACCACCACCCCATGTCAAAACACCACCCCATGTCTAGACACCACCACCAAATGTCAAGACACCACCACCACATGTCTAGACACCACCACCCCATGTCTAGAAACCACCACTCCACGTCTAGACACGACCAACCCATGTCAAAACACCACCCCACGTGTAGACACCACCACCACATGTCTAGACACCACCACCACATGTCTAGACACCAACACCCCACGTCCAGATACCACCACATGTCTAGACACCACCACCACATGTCAAAACACCATCCCACGTCTAGACACCATCACCACATGTCTAGACACCACCACATGTTTAGACACTACCACCACATGTCAAGACACCACCACCACATGTCTAGACACCACCACCCCACGTATAGACACCACCACCACATGTCTAGACACCCCCACCACATGTCAAGACACCACCACCACATGTCTAGACACCCCCACCACATGTCAAGACACCACCACCACATGTCTAGACACCACCACCCCACGTCCAGACACCACCACCACATGTCCAGACACCACCACCACATGTCAAGACACCACCACCACATGTCTAGACACCACCACCACATGTCTAGACACCCCCACCACATGTCTAGACACCACCACCACATGTCTAGACACCACCACCCCACGTCCAGACACCACCACCACATGTCTAGACACCCCCACCACATGTCTAGACACCACCACCCCACGTCCAGACACCACCACCACATGTCTAGACACCCCCACCACATGTCAAGACACCACCACCACATGTCTAGACACCACCACCACATGTCTAGACACCCCCACCACATGTCTAGACACCACCACCACATGTCTAGACACCCCCACCACATGTCTAGACACCACCACCCCATGTCTAGACACCCCCACCACATGTCTAGACACCACCACCACATGTCTAGACACCCCCACCACATGTCTAGACACCACCACCACATGTCTAGACACCACCACCCCACGTCCAGACACCACCACCCCACGTCCAGACACCACCACCACATGTCTAGACACCACCACCCCACGTCCAGACACCACCACCTCATGTCTAGACACCACCACCCCACGTCCAGACACCACCACCTCATGTCTAGACACCACCACATGTCTAGACACCACCATCACACGTCTAGACACCACCACCCCACGTCTAGACACCACTACATGTCTAGACACCACCACCACATGTCTAGACACCACCACCCCACGTCCAGACACCACCACCACATGTCTAGACACCACCACCCCACGTCCAGACACCACCACCTCATGTCTAGACACCACCACCACATGTCTAGACACCACTACATGTCTAGACACCACCACCCCACGTCTAGACACCACCACATGTCTAGACACCAACACCACATGTCTAGACACCACCACCACATGTCTAGACACCATCACCACATGTCTAGACACCACCACATGTCTAGACACCACCACCTCATGTCTAGACACCACCACCCTATGTCTAGACACCACCACCCCACGTCCAGACACCACCACCTCATGTCTAGACACCACCACCTCATGTCTAGACACCACCACCCTATGTCTAGACACCACCACATGTCTAGACACCCCCACCACATGTCTAGACACCACCACCACATGTCTAGACACCACCACCACATGTCTAGACACCCCCACCACATGTCTAGACACCACCACCCCACGTCTAGACACCACCTCATGTCTAGACACCATCAGATGGTGTGGTGTCTGAAGCCACATTAGCTTAAACGGGGCAATAACTCCCCACATGCCCACATGAACAGTTCTCTAAAAGAACGATAAGAAACATTGCCTTAAGTACAAGAGCTTTTCAAAAACTGTTTTATATTTGTTTCTTGAAGTTTAACTAAAACCACACGACGACTTAAAAAACAACAACCATGACTGGACTGCTGGGTCACTAGGACAACTACTCGCCCGTTTCTTGTGAACTAAAGATGAAATACTCAGACAGCGATAAACTTTTGAAATAATTTTTTTCCTCCCAACAAGAACACACCATTTTTTTTGGACAGTGACTGGGGGCAATTGGACACCCTAGACGCATCGTTTGACTTGACTGCAGATCATAGGTTTTTTTTTTACTTCGTGTGCAGCTTTTTGAACGCCCACACAACAGATAATATAAGGCGTTGTTTGAATAGTCGAGGATATTTGGGATTTTCCAGAATGGTTGGGATAAATGACAACCCACTACCCACCAGGTTGGCTAATGACAACCCACTACCCACCTGGTTGGCTACTGACAACCCACTACCCACCTCTTCTGGTCCTTCTCTGCGATGACCTGCCCCAACTTGCGGGCTGTCTCCTCGGCTGCCACCCTGTGCGACTCGGACTGCTTCAGCCTTCATACACAGACCAGTGGAGAGGTCATCAGAAGGTCATCAGCAGGAGGTCATCACAGGTCACCAGCAGAAGGTCATCAGAGGTCAACATCAGACAGGCAGAGTGGGATGGGTCAAGCGGCAAACAGCATCCACCATGCAGACAAAAAACAACAACACATGTAGGCGAGGGTCTGTGTGATGGACGACTTAAACGAGTGGATCTCAGGTCTGACTGGCAGCTGATACAGGTGTAACTGGTCCTCCCACAGGTGCTCCCTACAGTTGCACCCTAGAGGTGCCCCCACAGGTGCAACCACAGGTGCCACCATAGGTGCCTACTACAGGTCCCCTTAGAGGTGCCACCTCAGGTCCCATGTGAATACTGCCCTGCAGCTCATAAGTACTTTTCATTAGAGATGAACCCTAACCCTAGGGTTTAAGCCCGTCCTTCTGAACCCGAACCCACGGGAGCCCACTTAAGGGATCCACACACCATAAGAACCCGGCATGTGACCACATGCCTGGGCTGAGATCCACGTATACACATTATAAACACACATACCGATCAACCAACTAGAGAATGGATGACAATTTAAAGAGCGTCAAATTCTGTACTAGCTAGACACACATTATTGAGTTTTACACTAATACATTGATTTTCTAAACATTATTCTCTGAGTCATATATATATATATATATATATATATATATATATATATATATATATATATATATATATATATATATATATATATATATATATAAACAAGACACTACTTTAGGAGGTTAAGATACTAAGATGGACATGACTAATGCGACATGGTCAAACACAAAAAAAATACACCAGGTGATGTAGGTGTCGGCAGGATTAGATCCTGGACCACAGACCTGTGCTCCATCTCCTTCATGGCGTTGACCAGCTGGTTGGTTTTCTCCTCCAGTTTACCGATCATCTCAGTCTTGTGCTTGACCGTGCTCTCACAGGCCTGGGTAGATAAAGGTGCTCAGATAGATGCTAGTGGTCAGTTACAAGTGGTCACATACTAGTGGTCACATACTAGTGGTCAGATACTAGTGGTCAGATACTAGTGGTCAGTTACAAGTGGTCACATACTAGTGGTCAGATACTAGTGGTCAGTTACAAGTGGTCACATACTAGTGGTCAGATACTAGTGGTCAGTTACAAGTGGTCACATACTAGTGGTCAGATACTAGTGGTCAGATACTAGTGGTCAGTTGGATACTAGTGGTCAGTTAGATACTAGTGGTCAGTTAGATACTAGTGGTCAGTTAGATACTAGTGGTCAGTTGGATACTAGTGGTCAGATACTAGAGGTCAGATACTAGTGGTCAGTTGGATACTAGTGGTCAGATACAAGTGGTCAGTTAGATACTAGTGGTCAGTTAGATACTAGTGGTCAGTTGGATACTAGTGGTCAGATACTAGTGGTCAGTTAGATACTAGTGGTCAGTTGGATACTAGTGGTCAGATACTAGAGGTCAGATACTAGTGGTCAGTTGGATACTAGTGGTCAGTTAGATACTAGTGGTCAGTTAGATACTAGTGGTCAGATACAAGTGGTCAGTTAGATACTAGTGGTCAGTTAGATACTAGTGGTCAGTTAGATACTAGTGGTCAGTTGGATACTAGTGGTCAGTTAGATACAAGTGGTCAGTCAGGTACTAGTGGTCAGATACTAGTGGTCAGTTAGATACTAGTGGTCAGTTGGATACTAGTGGTCAGTTAGATACTAGTGGTCAGTTGGATACTAGTGGTCAGTTAGATACAAGTGGTCAGTCAGGTACTAGTGGTCAGATACTAGTGGTCAGTTAGATACAAGTGGTCAGATACTAGTGGTCAGTTAGATACTAGTGGTCAGTTAGATACTAGTGGTCAGTTAGATACTAGTGGTCAGTCAGGTACTAGTGGTCAGATACAAGTGGTCAGTTAGATACTAGTGGTCAGTTAGATACTAGTGGTCAGTTAGATACTAGTGGTCAGTTAGATACTAGTGGTCAGATACTAGTGGTCAGTCAGGTACTAGTGGTCAGATACAAGTGGTCAGTTAGATACTAGTGGTCAGTTAGATACAAGTGGTCAGTCAGGTACTAGTGGTTAGATACAAGTGGTCAGTCAGGTACTAGTGGTTAGATACAAGTGGTCAGTTAGATACTAGTGGTCAGTTGGATACTAGTGGTCAGTTAGGTACAAGTGGTCAGTTAGATACTAGTGGTCAGTTAGATACTAGTGGTCAGTTAGATACTAGTGGTCAGTTAGATACTAGTAGTCAGTTGGATACTAGTGGTCAGTTAGATACAAGTGGTCAGTCAGGTACTAGTGGTCAGATACTAGTGGTCAGTTAGATACTAGTGGTCAGTTAGATACAAGTGGTCAGTCAGGTACTAGTGGTCAGATACTAGTGGTCAGTTAGATACTAGTGGTCAGTTAGATACATGTGGTCAGTTAGATACTAGTGGTCAGTTAGATACTAGTGGTCCGTTAGATACTAGTGGTCAGTTAGGTAGAAGTGGTCAGTTAGATACTAGTTGTCAGATACAAGTGGTCAGATACAAGTGGTCAGTTAGATACTAGTGGTCAGATACTAGTGGTCAGTTAGATACTAGTGGTCAGATACAAGTGGTCAGTTAGATACAAGTGGTCAGTTAGATACTAGTGGTCAGATACTAGTGGTCAGTTAGATACTAGTGGTCAGATACAAGTGGTCAGTTAGATACAAGTGGTCAGTTAGATACAAGTGGTCAGTCAGGTACTAGTGGTCAGATACAAGTGGTCAGTTAGATACAAGTGGTCAGTTAGATACTAGTGGTCAGTTAGATACAAGAGATATATTGTCTGATGTATTTTGTCTTAGCTCAATTGTCCATGATTTCATTTGTCCTGATAGATCTTGTCGTGGTATCTTTTGTCTGAGGGATCATTTGTCCTGAGATCATTTGTCATGGAACTATATATATATATATATATATATATATATATATATATATATATATATATATATATATATATATATATATATATATATATATATATATATATGTATGTATGAGGGCATAGATATATACATCATTGTATACAGATATATAAACATTATACAATTATATATATAGTAAATGAATGTTCTACGTGTGATTAAAACAAAATGTTTTCTATGAATCTCTGCCACCCCCACATATGTAAACACAATTTCCCATAAGTCAAGACTTTAACCCCACCCCTCCATATTTGCGCAGCTTCCGGTTCCAGCATGCGATCGCCTCCCACCGACAAGAGCGCCTATAAAAAGGGACGGCCAGAGCATGGCCATCTCTACGATCTGCTGCTTCACACTTTGGCCATCATTTTGTTTGGGTTTTTTTTTCGTTTCGCCGTCACTCGACTACAAGGTAACACTTTTTATTTCACCTGGTCTTTCTACGTCGTATGTCTGTCTTAACATCTCGTCGTTTGTCTGTGTAGTCACACAGTCGCGAACAGTAGACAGACATTCAAATACTGAATGACAGTAATAGACATACATTCAAATACTGAATGACAGTAATAGACAGACATTCAAATACTGAATGACTGATAGACAGACATTCAAATACTGAATGACAGTAATAGACAGATATTCAAATACTGAATGACAGTAATAGGCAGACATTCAAATACTGAATGACAGTAATAGGCAGACATTCAAATACTGAATGGCAGTACTGACACAGACAGACAGAGAAAAAGATGAAAAGAGTAGCCTATGGCGAGATTATTGTGACACATTGGACGAACAAATTTGCCAACTTCCTTTCAAGTTGATACACCGTCTGTTCAATGATCCGTCTAAACAATTCATAGAACTTGTTGGTCTGTTCAAAGAAATTCAGTTTTCTAAGTTTGACAAACATGACTAGATCTTGTCCTCTGATTCCTACACGGGGAATAGTGACAGCAGTAAAGCTCACACGAATCAAAAGACATTTTGTGTCTTGACCACGACCTCCCCAAACCACGTGACGCCCGTCGTCAGGTGTTGGTGTCGCCAGGATACACAGGCTGATGCTGTAGGGGGGGGGGGGGGCTCATTGTTTTAAACCTTGGACGCTTAGCGTGTACTAGAAATGGAAAAGTTGAGTATACTTTTTGGTTGGACGCTCAGTGTGTACTACAGGTGGGGAAGTTGAGTATACTTTTGGTAAGTTACCATTTTTAATCAGGCGGTTGATGGGGTAGAAAAAATAGAGTTCACTTGTTTCCATGACCTAAGCAAATGCAACGATAGGTCAGCGTTATGCCCAGCCGCCTTTTTTTTTCCAAAACGTGAGTCAGGTACCCAATAGAGCTGAGTGGACTCGAAGCTCGAGGCTATGAGGTTACATGTCGTGTGCTCTACATTTCGACCACACCGTTCCTTGTTTAAACACTACATTTTATGCTGGTCAGTTATTTAAGAGGGTCATTGACCACTCGCTCAACCGACTGCGATTTCATCCATGCTACAATTACACGTATAATAAAATAAAAAAACCTAGCATTGACGGACTGAAGTTAGCGTGGACGAGATTTAACAGGACGTTGACGAATGGGCTGTGTAACCAGACAGTGCTTCAATTCCGTTAGACAGGGCCAATACATTACAATACGTTATGCTGTGGGCAGGAGACATGCACCCCCCCCCCCCATATAAATTACAATACGTTATGCTGTGGGCAGGAGACATGCACCCCCCCCATATAAATTACAATACGTTATGCTGTGGGCAGGAGACATGCATCCCCCCCCTGGGGTAGAGGTCAGCCAGAAACAGCTGGTTACACGTGTCAAAGGTCATTAGAACAATCTGGTCAACTACGGTAAACATTGTGTGGACATACGGATACAACCTACATGCCACGTGATGTATGGTGTCATTTAAAAATAAGCTACGTGATGTATGGTGTCATTTAAAAATAAGCCACGTGATGTATGGTGTCATTTAAAAATCAACACGAGAAGTTAAAAATGATTTGAAAACTTAATAGGCAAGGTTTTAAAACTAATGATCTCCAATTTCGTTAAAAGCCAATGGATCAGGCGATTGAGTGACAAGCGGCTTTAGCTCGTGTTGTCTCCCTTTAAAGGCTGGCTGGCATTGTCTCCCTTACTGTAGCTAGCACGTGATTAAACAAACATTGAGCCCGAGGCGAGAGACTGGCTAATTGGCAACAATTAAAACATTGAAAATGGCGAGGTTCTATATCCTGATCTGTGGTCCAAGTAGGGTTAGATCCCAGTCCCTCTGACATTTAAATCTCGAGGTTCTATATCCTGATCTGTGGTCCAAGTAGGATTAGATCCCAGTCCCTCCGATATTTAAATCTTGTGTCTACGGTGAGCGGCCACTAAGGACAGGCTTTAAAGGTTGCTGCAATTTAAACTCTAACCCGATTTTAAGCGGACAACTCGATAGCTGTAATGTAAAGTTAACAACCCGACAGCTGTAATGTGGACAACCCGATAGCTGTAATGTAAAGTGAGCATCCCGACAGCTGTAATGTGGACAACCCGACAGCTGTAATGTGGACAACCCGACAGCTGTAATGGTGACAACCCGACAGCTTTAATGTAAAGTTGACAACCCGACAGCTGTAATGTGGACAACCCGACAGCTGTAATGTAAAGTTGACAACCCGACAGCTGTAATGTGGACAACCCGACAGCTGTAATGTAAAGTTGACAACCCGACAGCTGTAATGTGGAGTTGACAACCCGACAGCTGTAATGTGGACAACCCGACAGCTGTAATTAAAAGTTGACAACCCGACAGCTGTAATGTAAAGTTGACAACCCGACAGCTGTAATGTGGACAACCCGACAGCTGTAATGTAAAGTGGACAACCCGACAGCTGTAATGTAAAGTGGACAACCCGACAGCTGTAATGTAAAGTTGACAACCCGACAGCTGTAATGTGGACAACCCGACAGCTGTAATGTAAAGTTGACAAACCGAGAGTTGTAATCATTTCTAAGTAAACTGTTAAATCAAGCTGTAAGGCCCATGTAATTAGACAATGGTAAGGCCCATGTAATTAGACAATCTGTAAGGCCTATAGACAATCTGTAAGGCCCATGTAATTAGACAATCTGTAAGGCCCATGTAATTAGAAAATCTGTAAGGCCCATGTAATTAGACAATCTGTAAGGCCCATGTAATTAGACAATCTGTAAGGCCCATGTAACTAGACAATCTGTAAGGCCCATGTAATTAGACAATCTGTAAGGCCTATAGACAATATGTAAGGCCCATGTAATTAGACAATCTGTAAGGCCCATGTAATTAGACAATCTGTAAGGCCGATGTAATTAGACAATCTGTAAGGCCCATGTAACTAGACAATCTGTAAGGCCCATGTAATTAGACAATCTGTAAGGCCCATGTAATTAGACAATCTGTAAGGCCCAAGTAATTAGACAATCTGTAAGGCCCATGTAATTAGACAATCTGTAAGGCCCAAGTAATTAGACAATCTGTAAGGCCCATGTAATTAGACAATCTGTAAGGCCCATGTAATTAGACAATCTGTAAGGCCTATAGACAATCTGTAAGGCCCATGTAATTAGACAATCTGTAAGGCCCATGTAATTAGACTATCTGTAAGGCCCGTGACAGTAAACGGACCAACACCCAGCATCAAGATCTGCTCAACACGAGAGCAACCAGATATTTCCATGACAATCACATTGGACCGTCTGTGGCCTTTTTAAAACATTTAGAGAGGGGTGCCACGACCAACGGTACTTTACAAAACACAACAGCAGACAATAGTCTGTGACCATAGCAGACAACAGTCGGTGACAAAAGCAGACAATAGTCTGATATTCAGGTCAAGATTTGTGGGTGGCCAGTCATACAAGTAAAGAGTGCATCCAATACAATAGGCCGACATTACACAATCATACAGCATTAACATACAGCACACTGTAGCTGTAAAGATGACGTCACGAATTTCTTGAATTTCCCTGAGATCATCTTTAGACTGTGTAGGTCCCCAAACGCCGATCTTGTAGCAGGTCACAATCATCATCGTCTGGTCAGGTCTATGTCCTGTCCTTTAGTGAATTCTTACATATTTTTTTATCCTATGCCGCTAATGGGGACAGGTAACATACAGGTGTGTTTACATTCCGTGAATCGATATGTGACAAAACTATTGACATGACACAACTACTGACATGACACTGAAATGACACATACACTGACATGACACAACTACTGACATGACACAAGTACTGACATGACACATACACTGACATGACACATACACTGACATGACACAAGAACTGACATGACACAAGTACTGACATGACACTGACATGACACACGTACTGAAATGACACTGACATTGACATGACACAAGTACTGACATGACACAACTACTGACATGACACAAGTACTGACATGACACAAGTACTGACATGACACTGGCACATACACTGACATGACACAACTACTGACATGACACAACTACAGACATGCCACTGACATGACACAAGTACTGACATGACACTGGCACATACACTGACATGACACAACTACTGACATGACACATACACTGACATGACACAACTACTGACATGACACATACACTGACATGACACAACTACTGACATGACACAACTACGGACAGCCCATGAATAAATGCGGCGCGGTAAGCAAGACACGAGAAACCAATTGTTCCATAAACAAGACTTTGGAAGACGGAGATATTATAATTATTCTTTATTTGCGGGTCCCTACTATGGTTTCAGCTGAAATACGTTGGACACTGAGACAACAAAAGGTCTTTTTACTTTCTCGTATATACGAAGTATAGAGAAAGTATTGTAATCGTGCACAAAAATCACTTGAAATTTTAACAATTTTCACCGTATTACACCTCAGTCCTTCATCACATCCGAAGTATAGAGGACTTATTTTAATCGGGCAAAAATTATCAATCCAGATTTATCAAAATTAAGAGGTTTTATGCGTAATCCAGTCTGAAAAACTGGACTTTGCAATTCTGTCCGTATGTCTGTGTGTCTGTCTGTCTGTCCGTGTGTAAACACGATAACTTGAGTACCGTTATAGCTAGGTTGATGAAATTTCATATATAAGTATTTTATCAAAATCGTAGATCCGTATCAACTTTTGAGCGATTTCCGATAACCGGAAGTGGTACTTTTTCTACTTTGAATTTTTCAAAAGCCTATAACTTGAGTACTATTTCAGATAGATACATGAAATTTAACATGTAAGTATAAGATCTAATTCTCTACCTTCTGTCAAATTTTGAGTAATGTCCGTTGCACGCAAGTACTAATTTACGCTACTTCCGATTTCTCAAAAAACTAATGTAAATTTTTAAAGTACTAATAATATTGCGCACTATTATGCACTTTTTTATTTGGCGTTCACTTGGTGTGCAATCTTTTGTCTACGAGATTTTATTCTATTTTTAAAACTTTAGTATTTAAAATGGATTAAAAATCATGTCTATAGCCCGAGTTCTCATCCCCTGTTGTTTTATATAAGAATATTCGAGAAAGTTTAGGGGAGATCACTCCCGGTTTATTTCTGTATGGGGTAGTTATCAATTCTTTTCGAGTGAATAGACTTGCTTCTATCGCGGTTTTATACGGAGCTGTGAGTTTGTCTAGTGTAAGCACGGTAAGATATATACTGTGTGGTACCCTAGTGACTGTGTAGGTGTATGTGACACAGAAAGACAGACTGACTTACTGACAGACAGACTGACTGACAGACAGGAAGACAGACAGGAAGACAGACATACACTGTGTGGTACCCTAGTGACTGTGTAGGTGTATGTGACACAGATAGACAGACTGACTTACTGACAGACAGACTGACTGACTGACAAACAGGAAGACAGACAGGAAGACAGACATACACTGTGTGGTACCCTAGTGACTGTGTAGGTGTATGTGACACAGATAGACAGACTGACTTACTGACAGACAGACAGACTGACTGACAGACAGGAAGACAGACAGGAAGACATACATACACTGTGTGGTACCCTGGTGATGTTGTATGTGTATGTGACAGACAGACAGACAGACACTGTGTGACCAACTTGGACCATAATTTTCTGTCCCTGTTTGTGAGACACGGAAACGACTTAGTCACGAGCAAATGGCAATCACCACCAACCTCCCCCCCCCTCCCCCCTCTCATTCAGAAAACTGAATTAAAAACATTGAACTGTTGGTTAAACCATTTGAGTTTTTACTGGGAAAACAAGCATGAGCAATTATCCCAGAAGGTCGAGTTTCACATTTTTCCTTCCCAATGTAGCATGTTTTTATCTGCTCTCCGTACGCTCGTACTGCTGTAACTATAGACTGTGTCAGAGTAGACACAACAGTACAGTACAATGTATCATGGGGAGCGGGGGGGGGGGGGGAGGGGGTAGCTTGAAAATGACACAACATAAGGTGTGTGTGTAGACACGTACAATCGGTGATGTTAAAGCCACCCTCACACAATGTAGAACAGCGCATAAGATGTTGACATGGAATACTTAATGTTGCAATCGGTGATGTTAAAGCCACCCTCACACGCTAGAACAGCGCATAAGATATTGACATGGAATACTTAATGTTGCAATCGGTGATGTTAAAGCCACCCTCACACGGTAGAACAGCGCATAAGATATTGACATGGAATACTTAATGTTGCAATCGGTGATGCTAAAGCCACCCTCACACGGTAGAACAGCGCATAAGATATTGACATGGAATACTTAATGTTGCAATCGGTGATGCTAAAGCCACCCTCACACGATAGAACAGCGCATAAGATGTTGACATGGAATACCTGATAATGTTGCAGGAAATCCCCTCAGTATTACAATTACTAATGAAGAGAGTCTGGCATGGGGCAGGAAAAGTGGGACAGGGCAAATTAGAATTGTCCTGTGGTATGTACCACACAAATTAGAATTGTCCTGTGGTATGTACGACCTACTCAATCACTGTATTCCCAACTGGTACCTTGGCTTAGTCAGAGCTTATGCTAGTGAAAGCCTTTCATCTTCCGGTATATTTCAAACAAAAGACAGCCGTACTTTAACTAGTTTATAGGACAGTATATCACTGATACAAGAGTATCAACATCAGTGATACAAGAGTATCAACATCAGTGATACAAGAGTATCAACATCAGTGATACAAGAGTATCAACATCAGTGATACAAGAGTATCTCTACTATATCACTGATATAAGAGTATCTATCTCTAGTATATAACTGATGCAAGGGTCTCTATCTCTAGTACATTAGTGATACAAGAGTATCAAACTTCCATGGATGGTCAGTTTTAGAGCTAGCCACTGTATCAAAGAACATCCAGTAATCAAGCGAGAACTATTTCAACATTTGCATCAAATTTCACGACTGTGCAAGTCAGAAATCTGATCGAAATCTAAAAATAAACGTATGCACTTAAAAGATGGCGGCGATCAAACCAAGGTCAGTTAAGTGAGAATCAGCTAGATATTAGCTGGTGGGTCAATGCATGACATTTGGCGAGCGACGGTGGTGTCCAATGTCTGCGGCTGGGGGGGGGGGGGGGGGTTGACTACACCAGCTGTAAGGTGATGTTAGGGCTGGGGGGGGGGAAGGTTAGGTATCTGACTGGTATTAAAATAAAATAAAATATTGAGAAAGACATGATGTGTCTTAATGTCAGTCCCAAATCGACAACTGGACGACGATATGGAAATAAACATTTTTACTCGTCACATCACCTATATCACGATCAACGCGCGCCTGTACAGGTGGCGTTGACACGATTCGTGCCGCATTATGTCATGAAGTCAAGGGTTCCACGATATGAAATATCACGATACCGGTTGTCTCACTCTGGCGCACTATATTACTATGTCGAGCTGTCGTATTTGAACTGTCATCGCACTAGTTCTATCAGCCGCACTGACAAAATCCGATGGCAAATCATACGCCGAACCGATGAGGCAAACTCACGTTCGACCAAAACCAGGTTAAGAACTACTAGCCTAATCTAACTTTCTCCTCCCCTCCCCAGCTGAAGAAGATGGTGTGTACCCCAGCCACGCCCCCTAATCTAACTTTCTCCTCCCCTCCCCAGCTGAAGAAGATGGTGTGTACCCCAGCCACGCCCCCTAATCTAACTTTCTCCTCCCCTCCCCAGCTGAAGAAGATGGTGTGTACCCCAGCCACGCCCCCTAATCTAACTTTCTCCTCCCCTCCCCAGCTGAAGAAGATGGTGTGTACCCCAGCCACGCCCCCTAATCTAACTTTCTCCTCCCCTCCCCAGCTAAAGAAGATGGTGTGTACCCCAGCCACGCCCCCTAATCTAACTTTCTCCTCCCCTCCCCAGCTGAAGAAGATGGTATGTACCCCAGCCACGCCCCCTAATCTAACTTTCTCCTCCCCCTCCCCAGCTGAAGAAGATGGTGTGTACCCCAGCCACGCCCACAGCCGTTGTTGCCCTGCTCGTCCTGCTCGCCTTAGTCCAGACGTCCAGCGGCCAGAGCTACCACTACAGCAACGGCTGGTACCCCGGCAAGAAGCGCTCAGCCCAGATGGCCGGCGACAGCATCATCGCAGGGGCAAGCGGCCCCGCAGCACGGTTTGATGAGGCGTGCAACATCAGGCCGGACGCTGTGCTGCTCATCAACAAAGTTATACAGGTCAGTGGGGGTGTGGGGTGGTCAGTGGGGGTGTGGGGTGGTCAGTGGGGGTGTGGGGTGGGGGGTGGGGGGTGGGGGTATGTGGGGGGGGGTATGGCTGTGGCCAACGCAATCATACAGGTCAGTGGGGGTGTGGTCAACACAATCATACAGGTCAGTGGGCGTATAGCCCCACAATCATACAGGTCAGTGGGGGTATGGCTAACACAATCATACAGGTCAGTGGGGGTGGGGTGGCCACAATCATACAGGTCAGTGGGGGTATGGCTAACACAATCATACAGGTCAGTGGGGGTGGGGGCAACACAATCATACAGGTCAGTGGGGGTATGGCTAACACAATCATACAGGTCAGTGGGGGTATGGCTAACACAATCATACAGGTCAGTGGGGGTGGGGTGGCCACAATCATACAGGTCAGTGGGCGTATGGCCCCCACAATCATACAGGTCAGTGGGGGTATGGCTAACACAATCATACAGGTCAGTGGGGGTGTGGTCAACACAATCATACAGGTCAGTGGGGGGTATGGCCCCCACAATCATACAGGTCAGTGGGGGGTATGGCCCCCACAATTATACAGTTCAGTGGGGGTGGGCAACACAATCATACAGGTCAGTGGGGGTGGGGTGGCCACAATCATACAGGTCAGTGGGGGTATGGCTAACACAATCATACAGGGCAGTGGGGGGGGGGGTGGGCAACACAATCATACAGGTCAGTGGGGGGTGGGCAACACAATCATACAGGTCAGTGGGGGGTGGGCAACACAATCATACAGGTCAGTGGGGGTATGGCTAACACAATCATACAGGTCAGTGGGGGTATGGATAACACAATCATACAGGTCAGTGGGGGGTATGGCCCCCACAATCATACAGGTCAGTGGGGGTGTGGGCAACACAATCATACAGGTCAGTGGGGGTATGGGCAACACAATCATACAGATCAGTGGAAGCAAGCGGTGGTATGTCGTTAACAAAAAGTTGTAGCGTGTAGCAACAGGTCGCTAGCAGAAAGTTGCAGCTTATCGCTCCATAAACTCGGCAGAATGAGACTAATCCTCACACCACTGGTCCCCACCCCACCGGCCACCCCAGGGCGAGTCTTATGTCCACTCCCAGTACACCAGCACCCAGTTGCCCCCCCCCCCCTCCGCCTAGGGCCACGTCTCTTCATGGAACAGCCTTCATACTCAGTGGGTGGTAGCAATCATTGTCTCAATGATTGCTTTGTTTGTCTCCACCTTCAAGTTGATCAAGTCGAGAGACAAAAATAAAATAAAAACAAAAACGAATTATTTATCCATGCCAACATTTCCATGTAATGCGTGTAGTAAGGTACGTGGACCGCGTCATCGTCTTCACTGTCCACACCAACACTATGGGCTTCAATAATGTGCATTATGTTGGTCAAACCATCCCATACTTTCCGGGCCAAACCATCCCATACTAACCTGGTCAAACCATCCCATACTTTCCGGGCCAAACCATCCAATACTAACCTGGTCAAACCATCCCATACTGTCCTGACCAAACCATCCCATACTGTCCTGTCTTGACCAAACCATCCCATACTGTCCTGTCTTGACCAAACCATCCCATACTGTCCTGACCAAACCATCACACACTGTCCTGTCCTGGCCAAACCATCCCATACTGTCCTGACCAAACCATCCCATACTGTCCTGACCAAACCATCCCATACTGTCCTGACCAAACCATCCCATACTGTCCTGTACTGACCAAACCATCCCATACTGTCCTGTACTGACCAAACCATCCCATACTGTCCTGTCCTGGCCAAACCATCCCATACTGTCCTGACCAAACCATCCCATACTGTCCTGACCAAACCATCCCATACTGTCCTGTCCTGGCCAAACCATCCCATACTGTCCTGACCAAACCATCCCACACTGTCCTGACCAAACCATCCCATACTGTCCTGACCAAACCATCCCATACTGTCCTGACCAAACCATCCCACACTGTCCTGTCCTGACCAAACCATCCCATACTGTCCTGACCAAACCATCCCATACTGTCCTGTCCTGACCAAACCATCCCATACTGTCCTGACCAAACCATCCCATACTGTCCTGTCTTGACCAAACCATCCCATACTGTCCTGACCAAACCATCCCATACTGTCCTGTCCAAACCATCCCATACTGTCCTGTCTTGACCAAACCATCCCATACTGTCCTGACCAAACCATCCCATACTGTCCTGTCTTGACCAAACCATCCCATACTGTCCTGACCAAACCATCCCACACTGTCCTGTCCTGACCAAACCATCCCATACTGTCCTGACCAAACCATCCCATACTGTCCTGTCTTGACCAAACCATCCCATACTGTCCTGACCAAACCATCCCATACTGTCCTGTCTTGACCAAACCATCCCATACTGTCCTGACCAAACCATCCCATACTGTCCTGTCCTGACCAAACCATCCCATACTGTCCTGTCCTGACCAAACCATCCCATACTGTCCTGTCCTGGCCAAACCATCCCATACTGTCCTGACCAAACCATCCCATACTGTCCTGTCCTGACCAAACCATCCCATACTGTCCTGACCAAACCATCCCATACTGTCCTGACCAAACCATCCCACACTGTCCTGTCCTGACCAAACCATCCCATACTGTCCTGACCAAACCATCCCATACTGTCCTGTCCTGGCCAAACCATCCCACACTGTCCTGACCAAACCATCCCATACTGTCCTGACCAAACCATCCCATACTGTCCTGTCCTGGCCAAACCATCCCATACTGTCCTGACCAAACCATCCCATACTGTCCTGTCCTGGCCAAACCATCCCATACTGTCCTGACCAAACCATCCCATACTGTCCTGACCAAACCATCCCATACTGTCCTGACCAAACCATCCCATACTGTCCTGTCCTGGCCAAACCATCCCATACTGTCCTGACCAAACCATCCCATACTGTCCTGTCCTGGCCAAACCATCCCATACTGTCCTGACCAAACCATCCCATACTGTCCTGACCAAACCATCCCATACTGTCCTGTCCTGGCCAAACCATCCCATACTGTCCTGACCAAACCATCCCATACTGTCCTGACCAAACCATCCCATACTGTCCTGACCAAACCATCCCATACTGTCCTGACCAAACCATCCCACACTGTCCTGTCCTGGCCAAACCATCCCATACTGTCCTGGCCAAACCATCCCATACTGTCCTGACCAAACCATCCCATACTGTCCTGACCAAACCATCCCATACTGTCCTGTCCTGGCCAAACCATCCCATACTGTCCTGACCAAACCATCCCACACTGTCCTGACCAAACCATCCCATACTGTCCTGACCAAACCATCCCATACTGTCCTGACCAAACCATCCCACACTGTCCTGTCCTGACCAAACCATCCCATACTGTCCTGACCAAACCATCCCATACTGTCCTGACCAAACCATCCCATACTGTCCTGTCCTGGCCAAACCATCCCATACTGTCCTGACCAAACCATCCCATACTGTCCTGTCCTGGCCAAACCATCCCATACTGTCCTGACCAAACCATCCCATACTGTCCTGACCAAACCATCCCATACTGTCCTGTACTGACCAAACCATCCCATACTGTCCTGACCAAACCATCCCATACTGTCCTGTCCTGGCCAAACCATCCCATACTGTCCTGACCAAACCATCCCATACTGTCCTGTCCTGGCCAAACCATCCCATACTGTCCTGACCAAACCATCCCATACTGTCCTGACCAAACCATCCCATACTGTCCTGTACTGACCAAACCATCCCATACTGTCCTGTACTGACCAAACCATCCCATACTGTCCTGACCAAACCATCCCATACTGTCCTGTACTGACCAAACCATCCCATACTGTCCTGACCAAACCATCCCATACTGTCCTGTACTGACCAAACCATCCCATACTGTCCTGACCAAACCATCCCATACTGTCCTGTACTGACCAAACCATCCCATACTGTCCTGTACTGACCAAACCATCCCACACTGTCCTGACCAAACCATCCCATACTGTCCTGGCCAAACCATCCCATACTGTCCTGACCAAACCATCCCATACTGTCCTGGCCAAACCATCCCATACTGTCCTGACCAAACCATCCCATACTGTCCTGTACTGACCAAACCATCCCATACTGTCCTGACCAAACCATCCCATACTGTCCTGACCAAACCATCCCATACTGTCCTGGCCAAACCATCCCATACTGTCCTGACCAAACCATCCCATACTGTCCTGGCCAAACCATCCCATACTGTCCTGACCAAACCATCCCATACTGTCCTGTCCTGGCCAAACCATCCCATACTGTCCTGACCAAACCATCCCATACTGTCCTGGCCAAACCATCCCATACTGTCCTAACCAAACCATCCCTTACTGTCCTGGCCAAACCATCCCATACTGTCCTGGCCATACCATCCCATACTGTCCTGACCAAACCATCCCATACTGTCCTGTCCTGACCAAACCATCCCATACTGTCCTGACCAAACCATCCCATACTGTCCTGACCAAACCATCCCATACTGTCCTGACCAAACCATCCCATACTGTCCTGTCCTGGCCAAACCATCCAATACTGTCCTGACCAAACCATCCCATACTGTCCTGACCAAACCATCCCATACTGTCCTGGCCAAACCATCCCACACTGTCCTGTCCTGGCCATACCATCCCATACTGTCCTGGCCAAACCATCCCACACTGTCCTGTCCTGACCAAACCATCCCACACTGTCCTGTCCTGGCCATACCATCCCATACTGTCCTGGCCATACCATCCCACACTGTCCTGACCAAACCATCCCACACTGTCCTGTCCTGACCAAACCATCCCATACTGTCCTGGCCAAACCATCCCACACTGTCCTGTCCTGACCAAACCATCCCACACTGTCCTGTCCTGGCCATACCATCCCATACTGTCCTGGCCATACCATCCCACACTGTCCTGACC